TTCTGGATCTATTTCTGTTGGTTGATTTTTCTCCTGCTTCTTTGTATGCCTGGTAATTTGTGATTGGTTGCCAAACGTTATGACTCCACATCTTGTGATGCTAGGTTTTGTTGTTTTAATTTTTTTAGGTTCTATTCCAGGATACAGTTAAGTTACTTGGATTCTGTTTGATCTTTCAAGACTTGTTCTCCACTGTCACTGGTGCTGGTTCAGGACAGCCTTTAGTCCAGGGCTAATTGGCTCCCCTGCTGAGGCAGTACTCTTCTGAGGACTCCACCTGATTCCCTGTGTGTTATGAGGTCTTTCCACTGAAGCTGGTGGGAACAGGAATTATTTCCAGTTCTGTGTGAGATCTGGGAATTGTCTGGCTTCCTGCTTTCCAGTGCATCTTAGCCCAGTTCTAGTTAGTTCCCTCTCACGTGTGTGCAAATCAGTCCTTCAGCCAAAGACTTGAGGGGATCCCTCTGCACGTCTCCAGAGCTTTCTCTATCACTCCATCCTTCAGTGCTCTGCCGCACAAATTCTAGTTATCTCAGCCTCCCAAATCCTACTCTCTCTCTCAACTCCACAGAGTACCAGGTTCTGGTTGGGTTCTCTCTCCCTGCGTAGCAGCCTGGGAACTGCCTCTAGGCAGCAAACTGGAGCAGAGTTATAAAACAAAAGCTTGTTAATTTCCTTCTCTCAGGGATTGTAGTCTTGAACTTTTTATCCAGTGTTTGAAAACTGTTGTTTCATATTTTAGTTGGTTTTCTAGTTGTTTAAGGTGGAAAAGTAAATCTGGTCCTTGTTACTCCATCATGGCTAGAAGCAGAAGGTTCAGTGTACTGCTTCTACTGGATTCATGCCAGTGGTTCTCTGGCAGGTTTTATGCTGAAGGTTTCTTGTTGTGATGCTTTGTGTTGTTATTTCTTTGGTTTTCTCTTCTCTTCTTTCTCACCCACTTTAATTGATTCAGCTCTCAACAGAAGTGGATAAGACAAAGTCATTTGAGCATCTTCTTAATACAGGGCACTCGTACTAAAAACAAATTCATCCCTACTTTCAAAGAGAAAGGAAGGGAGGCCACATCTACAACACAGCCTCTCGTCACTGCTGCTACTTATTTTTACTTGTTCTTGAAGAAGGGCAGAGGCTTCCACTGTTAATAAATATTGTTTCATTCCTCTCTCTTCCTGTCACCTTCAAATAGATCTTGCATCAAATAAACAAGACATAAGAAAGCAATGGAAGGTTGAGGAAGGGAAGCTAGGGCCAATGAAGCTTGTCATTATGTCTTAATTGCACGAATACGAATGATCAGAGCTGAAACATAAGAATCACAGAAGTGGTTATGAGTTGAGACCTATGTGCAAATAAGAGTGGAGTCCGAGAGGGGAAAGCATGGATGAGTAAGAGGGAACTCTAAGTGAGGAACAGGGAAATTGGTGCTTAAGGAAGAGAATAGAAAAGAGAGAGAGGGTGAGCTCAGATTTACTTGGTTGAGAGACAAAGCTGGCTTCAGCTGGAATGTTGCTCTGTCGTGAGGGCTGGTGCCCTGGGAGACGAAATTGGGCATGTTCTGGTGGCATCGTGCAGAGAAGACCTGCTCTTCAGAGATGCTAATGACCAAGATGACACAGGACATTCTCAGAAAATATAGAATATTGATTTTGACTTTGTAATGTTATTTCTCTTAGTTCCTGCGACCTGAAATACACAGAAGGAGTACAGTCCCTCAACTGGACTAAAATCATGAAGACCATTGTTGATGACCCTGAGGGCTTCTTCGAACAAGGTGGCTGGTCTTTCCTGGAGCCTGAGGGTGAGGTGCGTGAGTGTGGGGTTTCTTTTCTGGTACATAGTGTTGCCCATTATCATTTGTGCAGTTGGGAGAATGCCATATAAATAGTACATAAGGGACCAGATCAAATGGGAGAAGCTCTGAATACATCTTGGTATTTTTGTTTCTCCAAATTAGTTATACAGGTAAATGGTAAATGAGCTGGGCATTAGTAGCCACTGATAACATTTCTTTCAAATTATAAAAACTGTTCTTTCAGTGAATTTCTTAATATTTGGAAAAAATTCTTCAGGGAATTTTGTGAAAATTGTTTTCTAAAAAATGGTCCTCCCACCTCTGCACAATGCATTGGTTTTTTTTTTATTTATTTAATTTTTTTTTGCACAATGCATTGTTATCAAGAGTATTTGTGGTTAATTTCCTGGATAAGGAAAGATGAAGTGAATCTTTAAGAAATATGAATTAGATATTTAGGGTATCTAATAATTGCACCTTACTGATGATTTTAAATAAGTCATTTTATCTCTTGGTTACTCAGGTGTTTTTTTGTTTTGTTTTATTTTTTCATGTAAAATAGAAATGCTGGTGTGCTGCATTGAATTAATTCATTAAGTTAATAAAGTGAATGTTTAAAAAAAAACAGTAAATAGTATTATGTTCACTCTAACTCACCAGGGGAGTGATGCAGAGGAGGGGGATTCAGAGTCTGAAATCGAAGATGAGACTTTTAATCCTTCAGAGGATGACTATGAAGAAGAGGAGGAGGATAGTGATGAAGATTATTCATCAGAAGCTGAAGAATCAGGTTAGTCTTTATAGGGAAAAGTTTTCATGGCTTCCTAATCTAAAGTCAGTTCTGGAAACTACTTTCTTAGAAGGAAAGAATTCTATCATTCCCTTCCATTCCTGTCTAACGACTAATGCTTAATCAATTTTATTCCAGACTATTCCAAGGAATCATTGGGCAGTGAAGAAGAAAGTGGAAAGGATTGGGATGAACTGGAGGAAGAAGCCCGAAAAGGTAAATTTGTTCTTGTTGTTTTATTTTATGTTTTGAGGCACAAATGTCAACATTTTGAGATATTAGTAGCCTAGTAAGAATAACAAAAGTACTCTAAAACTGACATGGAGCCACAGCTACGACTTCACTGACCAAAGGAGAAAAAGAAGTCTGGGCTATGTCCATACTCTCCAGGTGCCATGACTGCTTCTCTGGCTGCTTTTTTCATCTGCTCAAGCCCCCAGTGGCCCCCTAGCCATGATAGCCACATAGTCTTGTAAGGCTCCAGAATTAGGCTATTCAGTTTTCAAATCTAAGGCCTATAATAGTCTAACTTTCTGGGCCTCTTCCAGGTTAGGAATATTTTTGTAGTGCTAGATTAATTACTCTGAAACCAAACACCAAATATAAGTTAAAGATGAAAAGAAAATATTATCGTATGCCAAGCATTGTCATAGGTACTTTGCATAGGTTACCTTATTTAATCCAAAAACAGTTGTCCATTTTATAAATAAATAAACCAAGGCTCAGAAAGGTTAAGTACTTGCCCAAGGTCACACAACTAGTAAGTGACTAAGTAAAGATTAAAACTTAGGTCTGACTCCAAAGTACATTCTCTGTACTATTTCATGCTATCCAGTAGTAGTGGGTACCTAGAGCTAACCTATAGCTAACTAGTAATGCCTCTTTCTTCTATTTAGCGGACCGTGAAAGTCGTTATGAGGAAGAAGAAGAACAGAGTCGAAGTATGAGCCGGAAGAGGAAGGCATCTGTGCACAGTTCAGGCCGTGGCTCTAACCGTGGTTCCAGACACAGCTCTGCACCTCCCAAGAAAAAGAGGAAGTAACTTCTGAACTTTGGCCCTCAGCTCCATTCTTCTTCCAGCCAACCCCTGAAAATTTTACATGACATAGAAACTGTATTTTTCCTTTTTATTTTTCTTTTGAAGTTTTGCCATTTGTGTTTATGGGTTTAGGGGGCCATTTGTGTGGACCAATCTACTCGGGGAATTCCAGGCCCACCAGGACACGTGCCAATGGCCCCATCCAGATGGCAAGGGAGGAGGTGTTCTTGAAGAAGGGCAGAGGCTTCCGCTGTTAATAAATATTGTTTCATTCCTCTCTCTTCCTGTCACCTTCTGCCAGGACATCAATGGCTTCTGACATCTTATTCTTTGATGTCTCAAAGCTATATTTCCAAGACATTGGTACAAGGTGACCCTTAACTATCTGTACCATGGTTCTTGACCAGCAGATTCGATCCTGCATACTGCCATGACCTTCTTCACATCTCTAAGTTCCATCTTTGCAGTACTCAAGAAAAGGTTCTTGGAATTTGCTAATGGTTGTGATAAACCATACAACTTGAGCTAGTGAGGCAGATTGGGCTGGTACCTCCGTCTGAGTTTTCCTGCTTTCTTGCGTCATGCAGATTCTGAGATATTTCTGCTGCCTTTGAAGACATAAGAAGCAGTGACACTCCCTGGTTTGGTTTCATCTTCCTTACAAATTCACACATGGTACAATGGTAGAAGCAAAATTACCACTGTTTCTTTTTTGATATATCTGAGGAAGAATGGTTATGCCTCACATACTGCTTCTAGTGGAGTCTAGAAGGAGGCTTAAAGGAGTCAACATTTAGATCTGGAAGGGGCAAGTCATGCCTTGGGCCTAGAATACCCTGATGAGAAAAGAGAAGAGGAAGGGAGGCCACATCTACAACACAGCCTCTCGTCACTGCTGCTCCTTATTTTTACTTGTCTTGCATTGTTCTGTATTTATCACAGTTTCTGTTGAACAGCTTTTTAAGTATTCGGGGAGTTTATCTTGCCATCCTCCCCCTCCTGGTTCTCTGCACCCACCTGTCCCACTGCAGTTCCTTCTGTGTTCTGTGACTTTAAGAGAAGGGGGGGGGAGGGGTCTCGGATTTTATTTGTTTGTTTGTTTTTTTCTCCTTAGCAGTAGGACTTGATATTTTCAATTTTGGAAGAACTAAAAGATAAATAAACTGTGGTTTTTTTTGTTGTTGTTTCGTTTTTGTAAATTCACTTTTTGTGACAGTTCTTTTGCAGTTCCTGAAAGCAAGCCTGCTTCTTGCCTGGTAATGTGCTAAGGCATTAGAATAATGCCTTTACCCAGCTAGTCTCACAAAAATGAACTGATCATTCTAAACTTACATCATTAGGTTGAGAGATACTAGACATCACAGTAAACCAAATTCATGGTATAGCAAGTTACTTTATAAGAGACTTTTTACTATGGTTCCCTCAGAGTTTAGAATGGAACAGCACTTGTTCCATCACGAAAAAAATCTTCAGTCATCTCCTTGTAAATAGCATGGAGGGCAGCAGCCGCTTGAAGGGACACCTTCAGCCTTCCTATTGGGGTAGCCTGATCTTCAGGGCTAACAACTGTTGGGAAAGGAAAAAGAAACATGTCAGGTAGCAGCATCATTCAATTAAACACTTAAATACCTGGTCTTCTTTGCCATGTTAGGTGCTGGGGATACTAAAATGAAGTTACTACCTCATTTCCTAGGGGGACTCAGTCCAGTGGAAGAGAGAGGAAAACAGTCCTTACAGTGCAGTGTGGTAGATGCCGTGATGAAAATTCAAGGTGCTTTGGGAACACAGAACAGGCACCTAACCCGGAATGGAGGAATTGGAAAAGGCTTGCTGGAGGAAATTCCTGAGCTAAGTCTTAAAAAAAACAAAAGATGTTCAAAGCATGTGCCAAAACAAGAACATGACAAGTTTGGAAAACTGCAGGGAGTGGCAGAAATGAAGCTATACACGTACACAGGGGCCAGATCATAAGGGCCTTGTTTGTCTCTAAGGAATTTGGTTTTAACTGAAGGTATTAGAAATAACGGATTTTATTTGGGTTCTAGAAAAATGACTCTAGTATTTGGAGCATATATTCAAAGGGGGCACAAGTAGATTGGGGGTTAGTTATGAGGCTGTTGCAGTAATTCAGGAGAGAAATGAAGGGATCTGAAGTAAAAGGGTGGAGAGGTGGGGACAGATGCAGAACATTTAAGAGGTAAAACATGGAATTGTAGTGCTCGAATGTTGGGAGTGAGGAGAAGGTTGGAATCAAGGATGACCATTCTAATTGTGGATGACGAACTAGATGATGCGTAGGAGGATACAGTACAAAGTTGTAGTCGGGGGGAGTTTGCAGTGCTAAGGGAACATAGAAGTAGTGACTATTAGTCTGCTGTAAGTCTAGCTTATATTAAAAGTCTGGTCTAGAAACCTAGATTTGAGATCATTTCTAGGTTATAATTAGAACTCAGAGTGGATGCAAACACCCAGGAAAAGGGTATACGGAGGGAAAAAAGGCCAAGAATTGAAATGAGGGAATCCAACATTCAAAGGACTAGACCCGAGAAGAACCCGCAAAGGAAACAAGGATCCCCAGAGAGTGATACGGAAAGTCAAAATGGCCTAAAAACCAAGGGAGAACAGTTTTAAAAGGAGACTGAGCGATGACATTAGAGGTGTAGAAAGGTCAAGTAGGACGAGTAAGAAAACCAACTGGGGGGCCGGCCCGGTGGCACAAGCGGTTTAAGTGCTCGAGCTCCGCTGCGGCAGCCGGGGGTTCGCAGGTTCGGATTCCGGGCGCACACCGAGGCACCGCTTGGCAAATCGTGCTATGGTGGCGTCCCATATAAAGTGGAGGAAGATGGGCACGGATGTTAGCCCAGGGCCAGTCTTCCTCAGCAAAAAAAGAGGAGGATTGGCAGATGTT